TGTGCGTTTCCAAAAAAAGTTCTGTCCACTGGTGCTAAAAGACATCTGTATGCTAAGAAAGCATTAAATGTTATCGAAACTTAGACATCAGCAACTTAACATATTGAATTTTATTTAAATTAATTATAAGACACTGAATTTATAGTTAAAACAATGATCTATATGAAATTTATGTAAATCAGTACTAAAACGTTGAATTTATCTTTAAATGAATGTCACCACATTAAATTTAAATATATGCAAACACATTAAATTTAGATGCAAATTAATATTAACAAACTGAAATTAAATTCAAATCAATGTTAACACAGCGAATTCATATTCAAATGAATGTTAACACCATGAGTTTATGCTTAAATGAACGTTAATTTATATTTAAGTGAAAAATAAGATACTGAATTTAGGTTTAAACCACAGTAAACATAGTGAATTTAGATTTAGATAAATGTCAACATATTAAATTTATATTTAAATAACAACATTGAATTTGGATTTAATTGAATGCTAGTACTTTAAATGTATATTTAATTGTATTTTGGCGTCTTTAATATAAATTTAATTGAATTGTAGCACATCGAATTTTGATTTAATTCTATGATTGCGAAATGAATGTAGATTTAATTGAATGCCACACACAACGCGGAGTTTGAATTGAATGCTGAAGCAGAGAAGTTAGATTTAATTGAATGCTAGAATATTAAATCATGATTCAACTGAATGGTAGCATATTTAATTAAGATTTAATTGAATGCTGGCACATTGAATGTAGATTTAATTAAAGGTTTTTACATTGAATGTAGATTCAAATGAATGCTAAGATACTGAATTTAGATTTAATCGAATGTTAGCACATTGAATTTACATTTAATTGTGTGGTAGGACATTAAATGTAGATGGAATTAAATGTTATCACATTGAATGTTGATTTAATTGAATGCATGCACATTGAATTTAAAATTAATTCTAGAACATTAAATGTAGATTTAAATCAGTTATAAAAGTTACTCAACACTGAATACGTGATGTATATATATATATATATATATATATATATATATATGCTCCCGAAAAATTAAATTCGGTTGTGCACTCTTGGAAATAAGTGCTAATTTGTATGACTATTACTATTATGTTACAATTCCCTGAATTGAGCACTGTCAATCATTGGCGTGTTTACTCCCAGAGTACGTAAAAATTCGACTTTCTTCAACATGCACCCATGGCTTAGGGGTAAAATCTCCGACTGTTGCTGAATCAGTCGTGTTTTGATCCCGGCTTGAAGCAATCAGATGTCTAGCCACCCTGATGAACTGTGATACGGCGAAACAGTCTGTCTGTGAATTACAATATATATATATATATATATATATATATATATAATAAATAAAAAAGTTAACAGCACTATAAATAGCAAATAAAAAACTGCATTCGTATACAATAATTTTTCCACTGAAGAGCCCCCTAAATAATTCAAAAATATTACCCACAAAGCCTCACTGACCTGCATATATAAATAGTCGAGCAAAAACAAAATGCACATCGTATGACGATTACGTTTAGCATCAAAGAGACCACCGCCTTTAGAGGTTGGCTTCAATGCCCACTTTTATATATATATATATATATATATATATATATATATATATATATCCATCCTAGCATACTAAGATTAAATTTGAGTCCGCGGAGCGCTTTCATGCGCATTTACAAAGAATTCGCAACTATATTTTACATTAGATTTTGTCTTAGCTTTTTATCCGTGAAAATGATCTTGGATGATATTTTAATTACTTCGGAAAATAAAAGGATTTAGAAAAACTAAGAGGACTTCATTAATTAGTTTAATGACAACATTAAGAAATTGATCCGTGAATTTGAAAGGATTAAAATAAAATAGACATTATACAGCTAGTTTATTCAACCAAACATGCTTGAATGAAATTATGCTGCCTAAACATACATACATACAAAATATATATATATATATATATATATATATATATATATATATATATATACGCTGAAAATACATTTAGGTGAGATGAAAGCTAGATGCGCGGTTCCTAGCTTTTTAGGATTGCACACACACATACACACACACATTATATATATATATATATATATATATATATATATATATATATATATATATCATGCTCCAATCGTAAGTCTGCAGATTGTTGCTGAAACGAAGAATGGCAATCATAGAATGTACTGTTCCCTAGAAAAGTTAGCTGAAGAGCGATGAAGCTCACACACCTCTTCGGTAACTTTAAAAAAAAGGAACAAAATAATTATGCCGTGAGGAAAATTATTTGAAAAATAATAAGCCCGGCTTACCTAATAATCCCCGTGTTAGGCAGGTGTAAGGAACTGAAGGAGATCATTTTATCGTGATGACACTTTTTATTTTGGTAAACATGATTATTTAATATTTTAACAGAAGCTTAATCAATGGAATATATAGTCTTCATGGCCCCTTCTTCTTCTCCAAAATCTAATTTCTAAAAGACTTTATGGCGTGATTCGAACACAATGATTCGAGGCAAAAACCTATTTCTCATAAGCGGCGAACTTATAAAAAATATTATAGCTTACCTTATACATCGAATAAAAAAAAAAGCAGCCTACCTTCTATATCGACTCACTCGATCTAATACTTGCCTTATCCGCACTAGAAGATTTATCTCCCAAAATCCGTCCGATATATCAATATACCTACCACGTATTTTCTGACGTTTTCTTTTGCCTACGAATCCCACTTGCATTTCTGTACGTATTTCACACGTTTTTTTTTGTTTGTTTTTTTTCCTTCTGTTCTGGTTTTGTTTGCTTCTAAATTGTTGTTCCGGTATTTGCCAGTTTAACTCGCATCTGCTTCTTTCCCGCGCAATCACAATTGATCTGTGGGTTTCTCTTTACCTTTCACAGATTTGTTTGCTTACATTGTTCCCGATCTTAATACGTTTATATACGCTAGAGAGCGACGATACGAGTCTGTTTTGGTAATTAACTCTCAAACGTCTGTAATTAATTTAAACCCAAACTTTTACAAACAAAGCTTAATTGGCAAACTTTTAATGAATTCATTTAATTAGTACACCCACAACAAACAAAACAAAAAATAGTTGAATTAAATGAACTTCTAAATTAAAATGTGTTTTAATGATAATTTTAAAGACTACTCACTTTCTCTTGGTTTTCGTTACAAACAAAGTGTGCATTGTTAACGGATTTATAATGTTCTTTTAATTTTGAAAATATTTTTGGTTTCGATCTTTTTGTCTAAAATCAAGTAAAATCGATTCTTATTTAAGGTCCTAACAATTACTGCACTCATCCCGCTTACTGGTTTTATCTTTGTGATTTAGAAAAAAAAAATGGAGGATTTTCTTTTTTTAATCCCATCAATTTCCTTTTCTGTCTACAGCGGAAAAAATCAATGCTTCCGACTGTGTTTTTATAACTTATATTGCAAGAGTTTCAAGAAGCCTTCGGTTCATCTAAAGAACCATTGCCATAGAACAAGAAATTAGGGATATTCGCAAGACGCTTAGCAGCACATGTACTAACGTGGCCTTTAAGTCTCAGATCAGATTCAACTTGAAGCAACACCGACAGTTAACATATTTGAGCAGGTAATAAGGAAAGAGCGCTTGGAGAATTTGATACACCTTTTGTTTGCAGACACGAAATTTAAAGTGTGCCTCCAATTTAATCAAATTTGCTATCTTTATATTCCCGACTTTCTGCAATAATCGTTTCTTTCACTATACTCCTTTCAAGGGACAGCAGATCAATCTGTCTAAGAGAAGGAAAGTCTAATTAAAATGATCTGCAATTATAGGATATTACTCTAAACCTCCCACTTTGTATGTAAATTCCTGATTAAAAGAGTCAGTAAAGAGCATATCACTTTTTGATTTGGTTTGCGTTGCTTTGAATTATTTTGTTTTATAGCATATCAAACTCAAAGGGTTATTTAATGCCGGCAAGATTTTTTAGTATAGGTTCGTCTAAATAGAATATCTATTCTTTATAAGAAATCAGTTTGTAGATCAAGTTTCATTGACGCATTTTTGTAAAGAGGATTTTTGTCGAGTGTGTTCTTTTAGTTTAGTTTATTTTGTTTTACGGCATATCAACATCAATGTGTTATTTAATGCCGGCAAGATTTTTATGGTAGCTTCCTCTGAATAGAATATGTATTCTTTGTAATAAATTAGTTTGTAGATAGGATTTCATTGGCGTATTTTGTAGTGTGTTTTTGTAGAGAGTCTGGTTTGGTTCGATTTATTTTATTTTACGGCTTATCAACC